ACGACCACAACAATAACATCAGCACCAACAACAACAACAGAGCGACAACAGAACAACATGGCGTGGCGGATTCCCCAGCCGTTTCATCCCCCTTGAACTCCAAACCCATACCCCATACGGTCCCTTACCCTTTAACCAAGTTGAGCTCAACACCACGTATCACGTATCACATTAGCACCAAAAACAACAACAACGATAACAACAACAACAACAGAGCGACAATAGAACAACAACATGGCGTGACGGATTCACCGGCCGTTTCATCCCCTTTGAACTCCAAATCCATACCTTATACGGTCCCTCACCATTTAACCCAGTTGAGCTCAACACCACGTATCACGTGAAAACCATGTTGTATGATTCAGAGTTACATGAATTCAGTATGGATACACAACAACAGCGTGCATTCACCCTCGTCACATCGCCAACAACAACAACAACAACAACAACAACAACAACAACAACAACAACAACAACAACATATACAACAACAACAACAACAACAACAACAACAACAACAACAACAACAACAACAACAACCACAACGACAACGACAACGACAACGACAACGACCACAACAATAACATCAGCACCAACAACAACAACAGAGCGACAACAGAACAACATGGCGTGGCGGATTCCCCAGCCGTTTCATCCCCCTTGAACTCCAAACCCATACCCCATACGGTCCCTTACCCTTTAACCAAGTTGAGCTCAACACCACGTATCACGTATCACATTAGCACCAAAAACAACAACAACGATAACAACAACAACAACAGAGCGACAATAGAACAACAACATGGCGTGACGGATTCACCGGCCGTTTCATCCCCTTTGAACTCCAAATCCATACCTTATACGGTCCCTCACCATTTAACCCAGTTGAGCTCAACACCACGTATCACGTGAAAACCATGTTGTATGATTCAGAGTTACATGAATTCAGTATGGATACACAACAACAGCGTGCATTCACCCTCGTCACATCGCCAACAACAACATCATATACAACAACAACGACGACAATAACAACAACGACAACGACAACGACCACAACAATAACATCAGCACCAACAACAACAGTAACAACAACGACAACGACAACGACCACAACAATAACATCAGCACCAACAACAACAACAGAGCGATAACAGAACAACAACATGGCGTGACGAATTCACCAGCCGTTTCATCCCCTTTGAACTCCAAACCCATACCCCATACGGTCCCTTACCATTTAACCCAGTTGAGCTCAACACCACGTATCACGTATCACATTAGCACCAAAAACAACAACAACAACAGCAACAACACCAACAACGATAACAACAACAGAGCGACAACAGAGCGACAATAGAACAACAACATGGCGTGACGGATTCACCGGCCGTTTCATCCCCTTTGAACTCCAAACCCATACCCCATACGGTCCCTTACCATTTAACCCAGTTGAGCTCAACACCACGTATCACGTATCACGTATCACATTAGCACCAAAAACAACAACAACAACAACAACAACAACAACAACAACAACAACAACAACAACATTAGCACCAACAACAACATTAGCACCAACAACAACATTAGCACCAACACAACATTAGCACCAAAAACAACAACAACAACAACAACAACAACAACAACAACAACAACAACAACAACAACAACAACAACAACAACAACAACAACAACAGAGCGACAACAGAACAACATGGCGTGACGGATTCACTAGCCGTTTCATCCCCTTTGAACTCCAAATCCATACCTTATACGGTCCCTTACCATTAAACCCAGTTGAGCTCAACACCACGTATCACGTATCACGATAGTCGTCATGTAATCTTCATGCTTCCAATCTATCTCAACGTTACCCATTTGAGTCTGCACTGTGGGGAGTCTGGGTAATCGATTATACTATGAGAGAATACAACAGTCGGTTGTGTTCTTTTCGAGATTCTCTGTTGTGACAACAGTGTTGAAGCAAAAAAGTACTATTATAAATTCGAATGAGGTAGAACATGTTCCGTACAGAACTCGGCAACGTCATCAGATTCCAAGATTCTTATCAACTGTTCGTTGCATTGCGCGGTACAATTTGTACCCCTTGTCTGACTCTGCCAGACTGGCAGTTCGCATACTACCGCGTCGGTTGTGTGCTCGGCCGATTTAGATCGGGCCGAAGGTTCGACTTGGTAGTTGCCCACTATAAGAGCCCAATGGGAACACAACACTAACTTGTAATCAGTAGAAGGTTATTGTCACGGTTCATGACTCATGGATAGGAATTCACTTACTACAATCTTACACCCAATCATATCGTCAACTCTATAGGCTCGTTCTGAAGGTTACTGCACTTCGTGCAGTGCACTAATGCACCGACCTCCACGTTTACTCAGAGATAAACATTACACCACCAATGTCGACACTGTTGCTCAGTGAAAATCAATCGCCGAGTCCCAACCATCATCACGGCACAGTATCCTCGCTCGACGCCTGAAAACGCGGGAACTATAGCATTGAATTATGCACAAATGCTATTCTAGAAATTCTTGCGTGCATGAAAACAAGAGACGCACGAAGAATTGCGATTAATTCCGCCACAAACTCAGCCCACTTTCCAGAGACGTTACTCTCGTGACATACATGAGCAGCGAAGGTTCACTGGACGGCCTCGACGACGATCAGAAGAAGTCTCTGAGATATATACAGGAGAAACTCCGATCACATGATGGTCCTCTCTACATGTTCATCACCGGCTACGCCGGGACTGGGAAGAGTACGCTCCTGCATGCAACGACGAATACTCTATCCAGCGAGTATGAAGTTGTCATCCTCACGTGGAATGCTCTAGCAGCTCGATCAATACGTGGGCAGACAATCATGAGCTTCTTCAGCCTCTCTTATGAGCAAAGTGGTATTGTCGGTGATAACGCATATATGAGAGACTGCAGCACCCTCTCCTCGAAGATGTGCACGTCCATACAGTCCTCGAGACAGCGGCTATTGAGGACCGAGAAACTGGTGATCGTCTTGGACGAGATAGGGGCCATACACAATACAATTCTGGATGCCATATCCCAGGCGCTCCAGGCCATTCGCAAAGGGATGGATAACTGCCACTTGCCATTCGGAGGGGTCCCCGTCATAATGGCGGGTGACCCCTGCCAGCTTGGTCGAGTCGAGCTGTGCTGCACCTCGCCCAAATACTCACCCGACCTATTCCCGACCATGCCATGTTGGAAGTCCACCACATGGCGCGATATGGATCCCGTTATTATCTACCTGAGACGGTTCCATAGGGGCGGCGGGACCGACCACCAATTCTTAAATCTTCTGAAAGAGATCAGAGCCAGCAAGCGAGTCAAACCGGGAGTGCCAGAGTTCAGCGGAGAGTCCTTGCAACTGCTTCAGACTATGCGAGATCGGGATGGTGGAAAAACGCCACCAAGGTAAGAATATCCTCAGGTGGATATTACACTCATGAATAACTCCTCTCGAAAAAATTTCCAGACTAGCCTCAACAAATGCCCTCGGTTCTCTAGAGAACCGAGGGCATTTTCCGAGGCAACTCGTGAACAACTTCAACTTTGAACTTCTCTCCACTTCCACCTCGCCCAAATACTACCAAACTCCGCAATCCTAGCCTCTCAAAAGTTGCTTCTAACAGGAACCGTTTCCCGCAATATCGTCTCTTTCAGATATGAACACGTATGCATCTGCTTGACGAACGACGAAGCTGACAAGTTTAACGAAGATTACCTGGCCAGCCTCCCTGGAGAAATGGTTGAACTTCAGGCTGAGGATGAGCTCTTCGGCACAGTGCCACCCGATAACTTCCACATAGACGAGGTATCGCGCATGGGATTCAAGAACCAGCTCAGATTGAAGTTGGGGAGTAGGATCCTAATGACCAGCAATGATCAAGACGGACGCTTCGTAAATGGCGACACCGGTAGGATACAGTCGTTTCATGGACTCACCAGCTCTGATCCATACATCAAAGTGCAGCTCGACGATCGACCCGACGATACTATTGATATTCGTCGCCGCGACTTCACGGTCTACAAGGAGGGAGCCGCGATCTTCAACCGAAGACAATTCCCGCTGACCGTAGGCGCATGTTTTACCGGGCATAAATGTGTTGGGATGACCCTACCAGGGGTCTGGTGTCGATTCCCTTTCGGCGGAAGAACTCGAGGGAACGATGCCAACATAGAGAAGTTCTGGAGTCGACCATGGCTCCACGGAGCTGCATATACCATTTTCAGCCGTGTAGGAAGGAGCGATAGATTGCAAGTTCATCCCCTTCGACGATCTGAGAGACACGGGATTGATGACGTTCTCCCCATGTTCCACATGTCAGAGGAGGCACTACAGTTCGACGAAGACTGTAGAACTAGGAGTTGGCTGACTGATCCGACGGAGCAGCCATTACCGCCTCGTTCCGAGAGCCCAGCCGCCGCTACCGCTCCACGGGTGACTGAAACAATAGAAGACCATAGCATAGGGCTCCAAATACGCGATGAGTTGGACGCACTCCGAGACGAGTTCCGACGCGAATTCCGGAATCATTCAACGCGATTGATGCTACTACATGATTTCTCGGAAACGCGAACCAGGAGGATAAATCCTGTTTTCTATTGCTGGACCAATCCCGAATTAATGGCAAAGATTGATACGTTCACCCCGGAGTTACAGCGTGAGTTCTACCAACAATTAGACGAAGCGCTCAATCTCACCGAGGAAATGCCTACAAGTGAGCGACTCAGTGATATATTGGAGGGTGTGGCCGCCAAGAATGTGAGACGAAGGGTAACTTTTCCAGAATCCCCTAATATTCCAGTGGTGGAGCCTTCAACTGGGCGTCCGACAGGTCTCGAGAGCCAGCCAGGAGCTGACTTACATGGCGAGAGGCTGCAGCGTGACGACGAGGAATTCATCGATGACTTAGGCTCCGAACCTGACATCGACGAACTGGATAATAGCATAAATGCACCAGATGACCCCACTGCTCCATCACTCCACGTACCACGACCAAGAGACGACAGGTTCGAGGACAAACCGTTCGCTATTAAACGAGGCGCATTCTACGAAACGGTGACCAGGTATCTGGAAATTAACGATCATCTGAGACTGGAGCACGGCTATACTTTGGAGAAGCTGAAGAGCAGGCAGTCATGCCGTATTGAATGCCGACGATCAGTAGCCAAGCGCCATCGCTCGAAGCAGCCATCGCCTAGAAACCCTGATTGGAGGCTCTGGCCGGCTTTCCAATGCCCTTTATCTGAGATACTGGTGAAAGCACAGGGTAGCTTCACATATTTTTACGGGCTCAAGGGAGCGCGAGCGGATCAAGAGGCATGGAGAAACCATTCCCACCCTGTTACTACTTGGAAATGCCACAGTGCATTTGTGCCGCCCGACATCATCGATGATTGGTGCGAGTGGGTAGATGAGGAACCGGGGATAGGTTTGAATCAGCTAGAGGATAGAACCTATAGAAAGCAGAGAGACTACTGCGCTGAAACTATTCAGTTCCTTGTCCGCCGCGAGTTGAATCATCACGAAAAGACTCGTGGAGCTTACCGATCCATTAAAGAGCACGGCAAGGCAGGTCTCAGCATCCACGCCTTCCTTCGACAGCTAGCTCCGATTACAGTTAAGAGAGAAGATCTTGCAGCTACAATACTTCCGATCTTAGACGCGCTAGCAGCGGTGGAAGAGTCCAGAGCCACTGAGGAGCAGGCAGAGCTAGCAGTACGAGCAGATGACTGCATACTTCTGAGTGACGTCCTATGTATTCATGAAGAGGGACCTAGGAAGAAGAGGATCCTCTCACAGTTCTGCGCCGTACTCACCAGCGCTAGGATGCTTCGCAATATGACCAATGTTAAGACTGTAGGCCTGGACGCCACCTTCAACTTGCTCTATGCTGATGTGGTGCTGGGCGTGATGTGCCAGCTACCCCAGAAAGATGCTGCAAAGCCCGTGGCTTTAGCCATTATGAGGAGCGAAGCAGCGTCGTCCGTGAAGCATCTGCTCAAGCAAGTGAAACAGGCAGCAGAGACTCTCAACCTCGCCGATTCAACTCCAGTAGAGGCGGTAATGGATGGTTCTGATGCAATTCACAAGGGAGCGATAGAGACCTACGGAGAATCATTAACAGTCATCAGTTGCTATTTCCATACCGTTAAGAACGCTAGGAAGTTGAAGTCTCAGCGAAAGCTGCCATCCAACATTTGGCGGGAAATCCTCACCGATATCGAGACTCTCGCAGATAGTTGGAACCGGACTGAATGGGTAAACCTCAAGGACTTATTCAAGAAGAAATGGACTGAAGGCAAGACCTTTATTGATTTTATGAATACCTTGCCGAGATCATAGTTTTGCTTCAGATATCCGCGAACGCCCGCTATCCGAGTCTTCTCGCTCTGCAATCCAAAGCTTCATGGATGACTTCGACGACTATCTGAATCCCAACCACTGGAGAAGTTACTGGGGTTCTTATGGAGGACAGCACACAGGCCCCCGTACAAACAACTCCGTCGAGAGATTCAATAGGCAGTTGAAAGATGACTTGATGCCCGGGAGAAGTAGAATAACTCTATCAGAGTTCGCGGCAATAGTTCGCCAGTCGGGTCCTTGGACTCGGATCTCGCAGTATGGGAAGTCCGAAACTAGAGGAAATGCCACGAGTGAGACTCGCCGAAGAGCCGCCGAGTATTACATCCAAAACTCCTTCTGCCAAATCCCTAGGTCTTGGCGAACTAACGTCACAGATATGGCGCCGATCAAATGGCTGTTCTCGACGAACGAGTCGAATCTGAGGGATGTTGTATATAGCAATGCGAACGAGGAAGTCAAGAGATTCTGTTCAAGCAACTATTCCTCGTTGAGAGAGGCGCAGAACCTCAAGGGTTCTTACTCTATCGTGGCTTACAAGAGGACTCCGGACTTCCGCGTTCCAGCACTAGATGGCCCATTTTGTACCTGCAGAGACTGGGTGAAAGCACTGGTGTGTCCCCATGTACTCTGCATATCATATTCGATGGGACACGATAATACGCAGGAGGCTTTGCGGGAGTGGTCCACGATATTGGTCAATTTCCCCCGACCACGACAACGACGAGATGCTGAAGGGAAAATCGGAAGTCAGAAGATCCCCAGAACAGCTAGGCACGGGCTCACCGAGGGGACAGGACGCAAACGTCGCAGAGTGGTTCAGAGTTCAGAGTCACAGCCAAGGGGAACGATGGACGAAGACGGTCAGACCGATCCTCACGTACCTGATTATCACGAGAATAACGATGAGGAGAGAGATGGAGGTGCTGAGCAAGGCTCAAAAGACGAGGAAGTACGTGAATCAGAGCGAACCGCTCCCAAGTTAGTGGACTACAACAGCATAACTTGGCCTGTACACCCTGACATTGAAGACCAATCGCTATTCTGTGGCTGCGGTCGAGGACACTGGCCTGAAATGGCAATGATAAAATGTTCAAAGAAAGCTTGTCCTTACCAGTGGTGGCACGTGGATTGTGCTATGCATTACGCTACTGCTATGGGAATCCCTTCTGGGCTCGCCTTTGCTCTGCACAACAAGAAAAGATGGTACTGCTTTACATGCAGAGGACGAAGCTGGACGGTGCCTAAGAAGAATTGAATAATATGCATGAACTTCCATACGCAGATCTATGAATATATTCCCTACATCCTATTGATTATATATATTTATATATGTATCTATGCTAACAAATGTCTATAAAATGAATATGTACTGATGAAAGCACTTCAATATTTATATAGTGAATCCCCATAACTGTAGACTCATAATTGTAACG